CATGCAGCTACTGATGAATCCATACCCTAGCGCCGTGCACCTTTGCAAAATCAGGCAGTTGGCACTCTTGGTCATTTTGAAGAATTGTTTAAAAAGTTTGAAGATGTAATCCTGAGGCACCGAGGTGCCTGAGTCAAAGGAAGGGGCAATGGGTAAGGTAAAGGGTGGAAAGGAGGCGCGGCGCTCACGCAAAAAAAATGGGGGGGGGGGGGAAGCAACATGTTTGGGGACGCATGAACCCTATGTCCGCGTCAAGGGGAGGTTTCGAATCAGACGGGAGAAAGCAACATTACAACAAGAGGCAAGACGCACAGCAGTAGAGAGACTTACTGGGAGCAGCAGGGGCGTTTGTGTCCTGGCCTTCGGTAGGCACGGGAGACGTGGGAGGCGCATCCGCAGTAGGAGGAGTAGATCTGCGGATGGCGGCGGCCGGTTCAGTGGAAGGCGCAGGAGAGTTGGAGGGGAGAGGGATTTGCCGAGAAAACGCCATAGCAAACTCGGAGGCGCACGAAGCAGAGCAATTCAAGAGCAGTTGAGAGGATTGACGGCTAGAGAGAGGATGATAGCGAGTTTTGAGGACTGTGAAGGAGGAAGGGGGATTTATAAGGAGGACCAGGCGAGTGGGGGAGAGAGAGAGAGGGGGAAGGCGAAGAGGCCTCACCAATCCGCTCCTGATTTCGAAATTTGAATTTTGAATCTAGAGCGGATTGGGGGGAGAGAGAGAGTGGGAATCGCAGGGGGCACAGCGGCACAGAAAGAAAGGTAGAAGAGGGACGATCGCGCGAAAAGAAAAAGGGGAAAGAAAAATATATACACAAATGTATGAATGGGAGAGAGAAAAGAATATAGATAATAAAAAGAAAAAAGGAGGGAGAAAAGAATATAGATAATAAAAAGAAAAAATATATAAGGAAGAAGAAAAAGAAAAGGCGTATGTAGGATGAGTGCACAACGGAACAAGGAAAGGGAGCACGCAGGTTGACTCGCACCGAGAGAGGCACATGAACCCAAGGGGACCATCGGGAGCGGACGAAGCGCCAGAGAAAGCGCATGGTGCGTGCATAGTGAAAAAAAGAGGGTCGCTTAAGTCCCAATCAAAGAGGCGCGTAAAGGCAGGCAGTGACACGGAGAGGAGGACGAATGCAGTTAGACCCCTAACTGTGGGCGTTAGGCGCCTAACTGGGGGGAAATTGTTGGGGGAATAAGTTTGGGCCAGAGGCCAACCCAAAAGGGAAGGCCCAAATAAGATTGATAAATGGGCACAAACGTGGGCCCAACCGGAGAAACCTAAAGAAGCCCATAGGAGCAAGGACCTTGGGCTGAAAGGCGCGTGGAGAAGGGCCCAAACGGCCAGGGTGACGCGTGAGACAGGTGGTACCGGACACCTGGCGAGAGGCGCATGGGACAAAAGACACCAACGGTCGAAAGTGTACGAAAAGCTGATCACATGATGTCATGCGCCTCAAACCTCTTGCTGATGTGTCAGGTGGTCGAGGCGCATGCGCAAGGGTTGTACGACGCATTTATGGCGGACCTGACACAGGGCGAGAGCGACGGATACCGGTCGATCTCGCCCCGGGTATAAATAGTGAAGTAGGTAACCCTCATTTATTCAGTTTTTGCTTCTCTTACTAGAACTGTTCTCTACTTCTCTCTCTAAAAAGGAGGGTTCTCACTTGGGCGTCGGAGTGCTAACAGACATGCCCGGTCCGCTAGGTACTTGTGTGTGCAGGCAGGCGTACGATGAGAAGCGTGTTGAAGGTTGGGGCGCAGAGCATAGGGTTGAAGGCTTCTAGGCATAAACAAATGGCTTCTAGGCTTCTGTTGTTACCGTACTGAAGTCTCAAGCTTACCTTAAAAATGGCTAGGAATTATACAGGTATTATAATACCCAAATGAAGCAACAATTGATGGAGCTCCTCAATTCTATGAAAAGAATTATACAGGTATTGCTTTTTTTTTTCATCTGTATGATATATCTTGCCAAACCGACTTCAACGGATCGGAATAATTAAAACTAATTCCAAGCCAATATCGACAACTATAATAACAAGGGCAATCATGAAACCTCCGGAAAAGAAAAGGAGACAAGCACAAGGTCAATAGCATATTGGAGCGGTTAGCATGCTCACCCCATAATAAGTTGGTTGGAAAAATGACATCCCTATCATTTAATTCATTTTCATTAAAATTAAAATTCATTAATTACACATTGAAATCCATATTAATTACTTATTTTTTTAAAATTTATACCTACACTAAATACAATTTTCTCTCTCTCTCTCTTATTTTTCCTTTCTCAGCAGCTTCCGACCACCAAGTTTCCTCTGACCGTCACACTTCGCCGGTGAAACCCAACCGAGAGACTCTCCAGCCACCTGCAAAATTATACTACTACATTAAAAAAAGTACCACTGCACTGGTATTTGTACCACTACACTAGTATTTGTACCACTGCACTAATACTCACATCTGACATTTCTACCAGTGCACTGGTATTTGTACCACTAGACTAATACTCACATCTAGGGGTGGCTATACGGTCCGATCCGGTTAAATTGGCCCAAATTGATCCGGTCCAGTCCGGTCTTTTTAAAAATACAAGGACCAAAGATTGGATTGGATACAGTCGGATCTTGATCTAGTTCGGTCTTGACCCGGTCCGGTCCCAATTCGGTCTTGATTTTATATTGAGCTTGTGGGGATTTGAGTGGCCTAAGGCCTGAAAGGGTGAGGAGTTGGTTAAGTTTTGTACTAAGTGCAAATGTTTGTGACCGTTTATGCAAATTACCCTTAAGTTTTGGGTGTTGAGCTCTCTTATCCAGTCTTTATCCAGTTTTATATCCGGTCCCGAATGATTTTTTACCTCAAATCTAAGCCCAAAGATTGGATTGGATTGTTTACTATCCGGTCTCGGTCCGGGTTATACGGTCCGGTTTCGGGTAAAACCAAAAAACCCAGACCAAATAGTCAACCCTACTCACATCTGACATTTATACCAGTGCATTAATATTGCTACCAGTGCAGTGGTATCGCTACCAGTGCATTGCTAGCGATACCAGTGCACTGGTACATATACCATATTATGAGTTTAAGTGCAGTGATACAAATATCAGTGCAATGGTACAAAAATAAGATCTGGAAATCAAAAAGTCAGAACTGAAAATTAAAAACTCACCGGGAGAGGGGGCTTGGGGGAGAAGAGGGATGGTAACGGCACAAGTGGAAGCCGTGGAGGAAGAGGGAAGAGAGAGGTGATGGTGGCGGTGGCGGCGGCGGCGAGAGGAAGAGGCCAGAGGGATGGTGGTGATGGTCGGGGAGGTTTTTGGTCGCTTCATAATACAACGGGGAGGATTCTGGTGGAACGGAAATCAAAAGGGTTAATATTTTCGTATGGCCTAAACTTTGACCAAAATAAACATCCTGGCCAATCTTTTCGATCTATAACATCCTGGCCCGAACTATACACCAAAATAAACAATTTGGCCAGATCCGACTTTTGACCGTTAACTTGGACGGTCAAACGCGTTGACCGTTAGTCAACGCGCCATGTCACTGCCAAGTCAGCATAAAATATTTAAAATAATTCACAATTTCCACACATTCCCTGATTTTAAATTATTATAAATTAAAAAAATCATCTAATACCTTAGTTAAACCAAAAATAAAAAACGAAAAAAATTAAATATTTATCAGATCTTCTGACTTGGCAGTGACGTGGCGCGTTGACCGTTAGTCAACGCGTTTGACCGTCCAAGTTAACGGTCAAACATCAAGTTTGGCCAAATTGTTTATTTTGGTGTATAGTTCGGGCCAGGATGTTATAGATTGAAAAGATTGGCCAGGATGTTTATTTTGGTCAAAGTTTCAGGCCATACGAAAATATTAACCCAAATCAAATTGGAGAGAGAAAGAGATGAAAGGGGGAGAGAAATGGCTTTTGTCTGGGGGAGTGCTTTATTTTCGTTCCCTAAATTGTTCCACTTTTCAATGTGGGTGAGAGAACCCAATTAGGTAATTAATGCCCAAATTACAAAATTAAAAAAAAACAAAAATAAGTTTAATTAATACTTGCCAATGATTGAAAATAAAATTGACCAATTATAGAGGGGATGTCACAAAATCTAACCCTTTTAAGGGTAGACATAGTATCCCACCCATCGCATATTGTTGTTTTAGATCGCATATTGTTGTTTTAGATTGTCAATCTCTCGAATAAGCAGATTGATTATATGTATGCATAAGTGCTAGGTCCATTAACCGTTCCTGCAATTCGCCCAGGTGTCCAAAACCACACAACTGTCCACCACATCAAATCAGAGAGAAAAGAAGGATAAACCAAACCATGGAATTGAGTTGAAGTGAGACGGCAAAAGGCGGAAAACAACAGGATCATTACTATCGAGTTCAACCAATGCTCTTGCAGTCTTGTGTCAAGATCGTAGAAAAATGATCACCACATCAAACCCAAGCGGCCTCAAGTTACAGTTTACACTTTACACTGTGCTAACAATAATAGTAAAGCAACAGCCCAACAGCTGAAGCCCACAAATACAATCGAACAGCTCTCAGAAAATTTTGCTTTCACCCCTGATGGCCCAAGAAGAAGTAACAACAGCATAGAAAACAACTTCAAATCGATCAATATCCTGGGCGCATTGTCATTTGTCAGTAAACGAGAGTTCTCGTGATAGCATCTGCAGAAAAGTTACAGACTTTTACGAGGTTCAATCGAGGAACCATTTTAAGTTTTCTGATTCAGAAAGGTTAAAGAGCTTAAACATTTACATCAAACTATAAGAGCATAAACAGGATTCCTATTTGCATCTAATTAAACTCAACAACAACAAGATTAGAGAGTACATACATAAATCATCACTGCTGCCAGCTGTGAATACATGACTTGGGCAGTAGGAAAGCTAGACACTCAATTCCCTTCTTATCCCCAGGAAATGAAGGGGTTGAACTGAGATTTTCTACACCAATCTTTTACAGTCGTATCATTCACTGGAAAGGGCAGCTTCCAGTTTCTGCTTTAGCTGTTCAGCAGCTCCACTCTGAGTCCGGATTGAGAATGTATGAACAATCCTACCATCTTCGGATGAGGATACATTACATTCTTGGGCTGCAACTTGGTGTTCCCTGAACTTTTCAATGACACTACCAACCGGGTGATCGGCCAGAGAAGAACTCACCCTCACAATTGCATCGTCCTGCCTCTGCTGGAAATCGATCTCCGGGTTGACCACACTACTGTGCTTGTTGCTTCTCATCCCTGTCTCAGCTTCCATAACCTTAATCTTCATCTGGAGATCATTGATATATGTAATGGCGTCACCAAGAAGAGATGCTTTATCCATCTTAGAGATGTTTGGAACAACAGCCCTCAAAGCATAGAACCTCTGATTAAGCTTCTCCCTCCTCTGCCTCTCTGCTTCAACATGATTCAACGGCTCTTCTCTCCCATTGGCAGGCTTCCTTCCTCTCTTTTTGGGTTTCCGCTCATCGCCCAAAGGTGACAAATCCTCTTTACCCTGCTCCAATCCAGTGATCACTAAGTCAGCACCAGAACTGGGAACAAGCATTTGGTTCATCGGCGGAAATAATTTTGCCTCACTGCTTTCACCAGGGCAGCCATTCGAAGTACTTCCATAAACTTGACCAGTACTCAGCTGTTGTATTGTATAAGACTCTGAATTGAAAACCAATTCATCTTCAACCTTTGGCGAAAAGCTGATGCTCATCGACCTTGGCATTGAACCACCTAGGCTTAACTCACGGCCAAATATCTTAGGACATGTCTTCAACTGGGAAGAGTCATTACATTTTCCAAACATGGCCCTTACCCTCTTCACAAGATCAGAGTCCTCAAGGATTGGCTTGATTGAACCAAGCTCTAAAACACCAGATTTGACTGGTACAAACACCACAGTCTGGAACCCAGCAGTCCCAGCGAGACCGGATCTCAACTGATAATGTTTCAAACAATTAGCTCTTTCGGAAACCCAAATCGATCTGCCAGACCTATATGATTCCAGAGGACCATAACCCACCGCAGAATCAGACCAGAACCGAAAATACATTGATGCAAGGTAAAACATCTCGACCTCAGAAACTCCACCCAAGCTACCCACATAAGCACCCTCACCGGTTCTTTTAAAGAGTGAATGCAGCTTCTGAAGCACACGCTTCTTCACCTCTTCCCTCTTCTCCCCTCCGTCCAGCTTACGACCAGCAGATTTATCTTCTCCAGCGCGTTTCGGATCACCACAGATCCCATCGCCCCAGGTCAACACATACCCACCAGACTTCAAGCCACAGGAATGCCAAAAGATAGCATAGTTCCATTCAGAACCTTCCACGAGTTGAAGCAAGCCTTGCTGCAAGCCCAGATTGCCGGGTGCGGTAACCAATTCCGTGGATGAAGCTCTGGAAGCCGAGGAAATCAAGAACTCACAGGCCTCACTACCCAATACAGACTCCACCATGGCTTTCTCATCGCTACTGGACCAGAAATCGTCACCCATATATATTCTGTTCTTCCTCTTTGGCGCTTTCCTCAGCTGCCGTCTGGAGCAAACTTAGAAATTTCTTCAAGTATCCAGCAGCAGTGTCTTTCCGACAGCAAACTGATAAGACTAAATTGAATTCAGAAACAACCCAAAAACTTCACATAACCCACTAACCCAGCTGAAGCGAAGCGAAACAACAGAGATTCAGAGTAAGTAATTGAACTCCACTTTCACTACCGAATTTGTAGAAATCATACGAACCTTCGCCTTCCAAATGAGGAGCTCTAAGCTTCAACGGTGGTCTGAAGAGGAGGAATTAGGATTCGGAATGGATCTGAAGGTCTAGGGTTTCATTTTCCGTTATATAATGCGGTTGTGTTTTTTCCCCTTAAGCGGGGGGACGTCGACCGCCGGTGTAAAGAGGAGGGAGGCTGTCGAGGTTAGGTAAAATAAGGGAGCAAAATAATAGTGAAATTAACTCACTAAAAAGGAAAAACAGTTTAAATAAATACCAAAAAGAAATTTTATTTTTTTACAGTACCAAAAAGAAATTCAAGTGAGCAGAAATGAGAAATCGCAATGTGTTGGGTCATGGGCTTAGATCTGAATAAATAACTATCTTAACAAACAATTTTGACTAGCCCAAATCCAATGCATTGTTGGCGTGACTAGACTGTCCTTATCTGTCCATTTCGTAAACGAAAGTCACGTGTGAGGTGTGACCCATGTTATTGCTTCCTTTTAAGCTGTGACTCTGAGAGCCAAACTTGATATGAGAAAACAAAAGTTCAAATAGGGGTGGGGATTGGGGACTATGTGGTTAATTTGCTATTTGATATTATTCAATTACACATAATTTAAAGGCAAAATAAAAAATACACTTTCATATTCATAACTATCTCTCGGCAAAGATTGTGTGAGTGTGCAGTCATTACATCGATGTGGATTGTCTTGTTAAATAGCAATTTACACTTTTTGACAAAAATAACCAAATTTAAAAAAATACACAGAAATAGTCATGTTGTCCATTAATGTAATGGAACTGTATGACGGCTAAATTGATAAACACTCGTCTATGGCCACGACTGCCTTTGTCTATGTGGCATGTCAGGGTGAAATTAAATTTAATTATATTCATTAAAAAAACAACTTTGCCAAATTGTCTTGTTCTTTTCCTCTTCTCCATCCGCCCCTTCCCATTCTTCTCTTTTCCTCTTCCCAGAAATCTCACCTCCATTCCACCTCAACTCAAAATCGCCGGCCACTCTCAATCGATGAACGCAGCGAGATGAGGATTATCTATCCCAATTAAAAACCCCAATTATCCAGTCATGGCTGAAACCCAGTAGCTCAAATTCCCCAAATACCTAGTCGTAGACTCCGCACCACCAGCTCAACGTCCCATCGATTCCAGTTCAACACCACCCACACCTAGCTCCCCACCTCTCGCCTCTCGCCTCCCGCTCCCGTCCCTTCCAAATCGCAAAATCCTGCTGTCACGTCTCCATCCACTCTCACTCTCATCTCGCATGCACACACTCTCTCTATGACTCTCAATCTCACCGGAAAAAAGATGAATGGGTATGTAAGAAGACGACTATTGCCTGATTGTAGATCCTAGGTTCGTAGAGGATGGAGAAGATAGACAGATTAGGGATGGCAATTTACCCACCCATGGTATTTTTGCCCAAACTCAATTATATCCATTTATATGGGTTGGGTATGGATTTATTCTATATGGATTTGGATAATGTTTGGGTAGGTGGAGTTCGGTTTGGATTTTATTTTTGGGTATGGATTGGGCTTGGGTACCCATCTCCTTGGACCCGCTTGTATATGTTTTTTTTATTAGGAGTTAAAATGTAAAGCGAAATTTTTAATGTACTAAAATATAATTTTCCACATATGATGCTGGACCTATTTGTATCTTCTTAAAAACTTCAGGTACTAAAATGTAACTTTGGTTGTCAACGACCATCGTGTTCCAGCTGCTTCGACGGTGCCGAACGCCGGTGCCGAACGCTTCCGACTGACAGGCGAGGATGATGATGGCGGACGCCGGTGCTCTAATGGGAAAAGCTTGTGGGTGGTGGGGATTTCACCCGGCGGCGAGGCTCCGACGGGAATGCAATCGGAGGACTCGGTGTTGATGATGACGTCGGAGGAAGAGTTAGAATTGTGCACATGCACCATCATGAGGACAAATTTCATGGCAAGGAGCACTAAAAGAATAAAGATGCAGTTAGAAGCAACCAAAAAGCTTGTATATCACCCCTCCCGGTTGCTGTGCAACGCAATCAAAGATATGCACTCAACCACAACATAAACAGAAGGTAAATAATGAATAACAGCAACAACAAGTTGTTTCTTACCATGAAGTTCATTCCTAAGCCAGTTCTGGGTGCACATAAGAGCCTCCACAGTCGTGTCATCAAGGCGGCTACGATGAGGGTTCAATAATCTTCCACTTGTGCTAAATGCAGATTCCGAAACAACTGTTGACGCTGGAATGGCTAGAATGTCCTTAGCAATCATCCTTAAGGTTGGATATTGTAGGCCATGATTCTTCCACCAAGATAAAATGTCGAACTCTTCACTTCTTGGGATCACACCATCTCGCAAGTATTTGTCAAACTCTTCTTTAACATTCCAATTAGATCTAGTACTACCAACATAAGAATCAAAGCTGGCAAGAAACCCAGAACTTGCATGTTGATGTGGCGATGAAGAAGAAGAAGAATCCATGCTAGGTTCTGTAGTCTTGTACTCACTCATAAGATCATAACAGAAGTCTCGAATCCTATTAAAATGAAAGGTAGATGTGCCAACATAAATCTTGGGAAAGGCCCACTCTAATAGCTTCATCTTGAACCTAGGATCCAATATAGCTGCAACAGCCAAAGTTCCATGGATAACCTCCCAATACCTATTGTTGATTTTTTTTTTATAATGGTGATAGTATTAGAATAAAAGAAAACTGGAGCAGTACAAAAATAACAAGGCAATGGTTCACAAAAGGGTGAACCAAAAAGCCCAGCAGCACAAAGGGGAACAGAAACTAAAATACAGCAGCAACAACAACGGAAAGAAAACGAAGCAAAGGAAAAAGTAAAGAAAGAGACAAGGAACAAAGAACCCTAGAAAACTAGCTAATTGGACCAAGCCAACCCTGCTAGAGAACCGAAACAGAAAGCAGAGACCACATGCCCGACAACCCTCCTAGACCGCAAAAAACAAACCCAAGAGCAAGGCAACAAAGCCAATCAAAGGAAAAAACTCAGACGATCATCAGGAGGAAGAAAAGCGCGGCAAGAGGTTCTGCAGATTCTCCTCAGCCTACCGCAATCCTTGAGATTTATCCACCTTCCCAAAAGCGATTGCCCACTCCAAAGCATCCCTCAGCACCTTACGAGTGACGATCCTAGCGTGCAAACGAGCATCTCTGAAGACTCTTCTATTTCTCTCCAACCAAATCTGCCAGCACAAAGAGTGAAGAAGTCTGAAGCAAACCCAACTGTTAACACTGGAAGCAGGACAAGAAGGCCACTCCCGAATCATGGATATAATGTCTCTACTTGGGCCTGTAGAAAGATCACATACCCTTCTTGAAGCACTCCACACGTCCCTAGCAAACTCACAATAGGAGAAAATGTGATCGATGTTCTCCTCCTCTTTACCACAGAGCTCACATCTGTTGGCAAGATGCCAACCCCTAGCCTTCAAATTGTCGATGGTGAGAATTCTCTTATGCGCCACCAGCCAAACAAAGAAGCAGATTTTTGTGGGCGAGAGTAAACGTGCTTGGGCGAGAGTTAAACGTGCTTGGGCGAGAGTAGTACTAAGATGGGTGACCTCTTGGGAATTCCTCGTGTTACACCCCTATTGAATTTATCCAACATATCTTCAGACATGGTTGCAATAGTTACATTTGGACTCAACTGCCACTCGTTTAGAGCTATTTTAATCTCACAGACCTTAGGGGAAAATGTATTAGCCGTGGGGTAAGTAGTTCCTGAAAATGTCTTCGTAGCTTCATGAAACAACTCTAGCTTCACACATAATTCATATGCCATATCCCATTCCTCTTCACTTGGAAAACATATATAATCTGAATCTCTAACAATCAAACGATCAAAGACATCCTTATATATCAAAGCAGTTGATAGCATAAGATACGTAGAGTTCCAACGAGTCTTACAATCAAGCACTAACTCTCTCGAAGAATCAATATTTGTAAGTCTGCCTAACACCTCATTGAACTTTTGTCTTCTCTTAACAGATGAAGTCCAATACAAAACACTATCACGAATTCTCCCAATGCATTCCCCAATGACAGACAACCCATCTTGCACGATTAGATTGAGAATGTGAGCAGCACATCGCATATGAAATATAGAACCATTTAGCAACAACGTATCTTCTTGCAATTTTCCTAAAAGAGCTCTAATCATAGCATCATTAGTACTGCAATTATCCACGGTCACTGTTGAAATTTTTCTCTCAATGTTCCATTCCATCATAGAACTCAATAATACATCACATAGAACATCCTTGGTATGTGGAGAAGGAACGTGGATAAAACTCAAAATCTTACTCTGAAGGACCCAAGCATCATTAATAAAGTGGCTAGTTACTACCATGAACCCTCTTTTTCTGTTATTCGAAGTCCACATATCAGTGGTAATCGCCACCCTACTGCTGACTTTTTCTAACTCATGCATTACATTCATCTTTCCCTTTTTGAATATCTTTAAAATATCACTCTTGATTGTATTTCTACAAACCATTTGAAACAACGGTTGAAGAGAATACGCAAACCTCCTAACCCCAACATAATCGACAACCGATAGAGGAAATTCATGAAGAACAATCATATAAGCAAGCTCCCTTCTACTAGTTTCTTGGTAAAAAACAGCAGGACTCGAACTTCCACTATCAATTTTCCTTTTCTTACTACCCAAAAGCCCACCAACCATGACTAGATCAGCATTTTTTACTGGACATTTAAACAAATG